CTGATATTATCGCCTCCTTCCAGCTAGGTGGTGTTTGTGCTTTTTTCAGAACCCAGTTCAATGTAGGGAGCATTACCGGAATTAAATCATTTTTAAACTCCTTGTACCACTCCGCCGTGTAACCATCTGATCCCGGTGATTTATTTAATTTTAGTCTACTAATTGCAATCTTTAATTCATCTTCAGATATGTCAGTGGTCATCCTTCTATTTTGCTCTTCATTTAAAGTGGGTAGCTCTAATGAATTTAGGAAAGTGTCAATTTGAGTTACATTTCTCCCTGGAACTCTTGAGTATAAAGTTTTATAGAAAACCTCGAAAGATTCCTGAATTTCCTTTAACTTACTTTTTATCGTTTTTGTTCTTGGGTCTCTAATTCTATGAATTGTATTTTCTGCAGTTTTCTTCCTCAGTTTCCATGCCAATATTCTCATTGCATTAGATCCCCCTTCATAATATCTCTGTTTTAGAAACATTAGATTCTTCTTTACTTCTTGTATAGCTAAATTGTTAATCTTGTCCCTAACTTTTTTTATTTCGTCTAGTATATCGTTCGCTAAACTTAATTTATGTCTTTTTTCTAGTTCTCTTAAATTATTATGTAGTTCATCTAATGTTTTATTTCTCCTTTTTTTCTTATATGAAGATATTGCTATGATTTTACCTCTTAAGACAGCCTTCAAAGTATCCCATAAGATAGGAGGTGAAACCTCACCATTGTCATTAAATTCTAGATAGAGATTAATTTCTTTTTTAATTTGTTCTTTAAAACAAGGATCATTAAATAGACTCGAGTTTAATTTCCATGTATTGTTTTTTGGTGGTAGGTCAAAAACAATGGATAAATCTATTGGTGCATGGTCACTTATATCTATTGACCCGATTCCACAGGAATGTATCTTATCTTTATCTCTTCCAAATGTTATAAAATAGTCTATTCTGGTATATAGAGAATGGGGGGCAGAGTAATAAGTATAGTCTCTTCTGTTAGGAAAGAAATCTCTCCATATATCAATTAGACCAACATCTTCAAAAAGTGCATTAACTTTCTTATGTAGAGACCCCTTGTCATAGTTGTTTCCACTAGAGGAGTCTAATTTTGGCTTTAAATGTATATTTAAATCTCCGCCACAAATCAGAAAACCTTTTGTTTCCATTGTCATGATACTAGTAATTCTCTGGAAGAAGCTAATATCACTTCCTGGGGGCGCATATATATTTAATAGAGTAACTAGATTATCATAAATTTTGCCCTTTACTAGGATATATCTGCCCTCCTTGTCTCCCATTTCAGATATTTTTTCAAAATTTAGTTTGTTTGAAATAAGAATAGCGACTCCCCTTCTATGTCCTGATTTATATGAAGAGAAAAATACATCAGAGAAGCCCATTCTCCTCAGTTTTTCATGCTCTTTATCATTCAGATGTGTTTCCTGTAAATACACTATATGCGCTTGTTCTTTCTTCATTTTAGATAAAATCTTACTTCGTTTAATTGGATTCAACATCCCGTTGACATTAAAGGAAATTATTTTAACTTTGTCCCTAACCATATGTATCTAAAAGCAATGTATTAACCAACTCCGCTAAACAGAACTTAATTAATCTACTCCCTGAATAAACAAGAACAAAAAAACATACATAACAAAACAATGAGAAACAATGATATGATTCCAAGGTTGGGGTCTCTAATAGATGACCCTGAACTGAGCTAGATGGAACTTCTAGCTGTGGGGGAAAATCTCTCTCCCATGTGGGTCGAGGGCCCCCATTGCAGCATTCACCAAAATAAATGGAAAGTTCAGTGTACATTTCACCAAAAAAGCTTGTATATTCCTCCCTTCTATATATTTTCATTTAAATTGGGGAGAGGGATATCCACAACATAAATATTAAATGACTTGAGAAAAAAACTAAAATTAGGCAATGGAAAAATTTACATTACCGCATCTCTCTCAAAGTGAATATTGCACCATATTTTCCAGGTTTACTTAGCTCACCAGAAGTTTGAAATTAGTCCAAACTTAAAGCTCTTCTGGAGGGGACAGGGGCCTTCTTCTGAAACCTTGCAGTCTCTCCCTTATATTCTTCTCTCGCTCTTCTTCCGCTCCCTGTTGTCTCGGGCCTCTAACCATTTCCCAGGCGGTACGGGATAGCTGCTCCGCTAGACTCTCCCTCGGCGTGATTACACTGATGGGAAGTCCCCTATCTTTCATGTCTGCGGTTGCCTCCTCTGCCGACTGGTACAGTCGCGTCCCGTCATCATAAAACACGCGTAGTTTGGCGGGGAACGGGGTCTGAAACCGGATCTGTTTCTGTTTTAATACTCGTTTAGCTTCAGAGTATTCCTTGCGTTTCTGAAGAATTACCGGGGGGTAATCTTGGTCAAAGTATATTGGTCTCTCATTCAAAAACACCTTTTTTGCCCAGGCTTTGCGCAGAATCTCTTCTTTAATTTTGTAGCGGTGGAATTTGATTATAATTGACCGTGGTTTATCTCCCCCGTTGGCGGAGGGTTTTGGGGCGAGCGCGCGGTGAGCTCTCTCGATGCCAAGTTCCGTAGTCGGAGGGATCTCCAGTGTATCTCGTAGTAACTTTTCCACAAACATCGCCGTTGACGTGCCCTCTGATCCTTCGGGAACATTGTAGAGCCTTATGTTCTCCCTTCTAGATCTCCCTTCTAGGTCGAGTAATTTATTTTCTTGTTGATTGATGACTTTTATCATCTTGCTCATCACCTGCTCCACATTTTGAACGCGATCTTCTACTTTTCCGATTCGCGTTTCTGCCTCCGCCAATTTTTGATTAACACTGGTGATTTCTGAGATAATTTCGGTTAGTTGTTGTTTTGTGTCTTTGCGAAAGTCCCTTATCTCCTCCAGAACTTTTGGTTAAACTTGCCGCCTCATTCGGTTGAAGGCTCTCGTTAGCTTCGCCATCTTGTACCTGCGTAGAAGAGCTGTTCCCTGCGTTTTCTTCGTTCACAGCTTCTCCAGCGGTGCATTTTTTGTTTCCATCTCTTCTTCCCATTCTTGCCCCACTTTTCGAGCTAAACAGAATTTAAAAAAAGTTATATCTGATAATTTTACGGGGCAGTTAATCGGTTTTCCCGGAGGAGCTGTTGTTTAGGCTGCCATTCAGAGTGATGACGCCACCGGAACCTCGATCCCAAGTTTCTATATGCACTTAAAAGACATGACCTGAACGAACCATCAACAATTAATTTCACCCTTGTATCGTTTCTTAGGCGGGTAATTCAATTTGATATTAAAATGCACCTGCAGTTTCAGCTAAAAGTCTGGAGGTACTTGCTTGTCCTTGCGTTGCTTTTGGGGATTCCCTTTTGTCGGTGTGAAGGTGTTCCCCGGGTCCGTGGTTTGGCTGGCGGTCTCCTCGTGCTTGATAGATCTTGGGCAGCCAGTCACGTGGTGTGTTGGCGGATGGATGAAAGTCTTTGAAGTTGGAAGCGTGTTGCAGTCGAAACGTTTTAAACGAAACTTTGCAGCAAAACTTAACTTAGAACCGAGACTTTTAACGGAAAAGAAAACAAACTAAGAAAAGAAAGAAAAGTGTGACGAGATGGCTTGAATTAAATCTGTTTTAACCCATATCTTGATTTGGGTCATTTGTCTCTGCGTCTACATGGTTACTATAACCATCGTCGGCTCCACCCGGCTTGTTCTGCCGAAAGAGAGCATCACAAGAGAGCAGAGGGCAAGAGCATCACAAGAGCATCACAAGAGAGGATTCTGTGTTCGGGTCTAAGATTTTAAACTCAAAATGTTTGTCCCGCCTCCTGGAGGAATTTGGAATTCGGACAATAAGATACTATATGGTTATTTGAGAAGGGGGTCTTTTCTATCCCCCCCCCTTTCTCTCATCGTGAACCATGTGCTATCTGTGGCCTGCTTAGTCATCAGCTTGAACATAGGATTCAGTTTAGACATAATTTCCATTTTAAGAACATAAACATTTTTACACAGATTTCAATCAAGCCATCTTTTGAATTAAACACATACGAGCATAATGATAGGAAACACGACACTTTCATTCCAGTATCTCTAATATTTAAAACAATTACATGACTTAGATGTGATCTAAGCAGAACAGACACATACAGGGGTTGTAAACACAATTTATAATTATGTTATGTTACATGATTTTGATTATGGGTCAGTCAAGAATTGTTCTGGGATGAGTTTTATTGGTATTGGAGAATTGGAGGAAAGTCCTTATGTGTGTGTGTGTGTGTATCCTTATGGTCAGCATTTGTCGCATCCGTGGTGTTTACCACGTGAGGGTTTAGGTCGCAAATGGTTGTCTTCAAGACAAAGGGTAGTTTTGTATGGACACAAGGAGACGTACTAATTGATGAGGGGAAAACTAGCTCGGGACCCTGAATGGTTCAGTCTGTTTAGTCGCAGGGGTCAGGTGACTTCTTGTTAGGGCCTCTTGTTTCACCATTTCTGAACAGATCTGTTCTTGCCAAATTATAAAACATTGACAACGTCCTTCCTTTAGTTAAACAACAAAAGGGTCTTCTTGGCTCATAGCCTAGGGTGATCTGGAATTTGCAGTTTGATTATGTACGAACGCTTCACTCGTGTGGGGTTCATTCTCGTTGTCGCTACACGTTATCATAACAGTCCTATTCGTTTCGCCAATAGCGGTATATTGCCACACTCTAAATTAACACGATGCCGATATTTCATGCTTTGAATATCACGATTATCGTCAACACCGGTATATTGCGACACCCCTACATTACACTAACATTTTGAAATAAACTCACATTGTACAGATATGATGAACAGATACTGTATCTGAACAAATCACATAAACCACATCTTTTGTTTAATAGCAACAGAAGAGTTTTGCAGAACTGCATTTAGACTGACAAATTTAAAAATCATGTCCTCATAAAACATCATTCACAGTATCACTTGCTTTTGTAAGTTTGGAGTTTTCAGCAGATTCTTAAAGATCCGAAAGAATCCAAACCTGAGAACATGGTGTGTATCTTCTCCAGGACCTCCACACTGTCCAGCCACACATCCGACACAATCACAAACATGGCGTCTTCATTCTCCTCCTCCAGCTGCTTGAGTTTGGCTGACGCTTTGACCGCAGTGGTGGACGGCCCACCAAAGAAGTTTATATTGCCATAATATGCCCTGTACGCAGACAAGAAAACACCATGTGGATGTAGAACCATGTGAGCTACAGTTACAGTGAATAACAGCTAATACACACCTGGTGAAAGAAGAGGGTTCTGTGGGCGGGAACCCAAACGCGTTGACATGGAACACAGAATCCTCGTACCATCCTGGGAACGCAGACAGAGCATGTGATTATAGAGATCAGATCAGAGCATGTGCAGATCAGAACATGTGATTATAGATCAGATCAGAGCAGAGCATGTGATTATAGAGATCAGATCAGAGCATGTGCAGATCAGAACATGTGATCAGAGCAGAGCATGCGATTAGAGATCAGATCAGAACATGTGATTACAGAGATCAGAACATGTGATTACAGAGATCAGAACATGTGATTATAGAGATCAGATTATAGAGATCAGATCAGAACATGTGATTATAGAGATCAGAGCAGAGCATGTGATTATAGAGATCAGATCAGAGCATGTGATTACAGAGATCAGAACATGTGATTATAGAGATCATATCAGAGCATGTGATTATAGAGATCCGATCAGAACATGTGATTATAGATCAGAGCAGAGCATGTGATTATAGAGATCAGAACATGTGATTATAGATCAGAACAGTGCATGTGATTATAGAGATCAGAACATGTGATTATAGATCAGAGCAGTGCATGTGATTATAGAGATCAGAACATGTGATTATAGATCAGAGCAGTGCATGTGATTATAGAGATCAGAACATGTGATTATAGATCAGAGCAGAGCATGTGATTATAGAGATCAGAACATGTGATTAGAGATCAGATCAGAACATGTGATTAGAGATCAGATCAGAGCATGTGATTACAGAGATCAGATCAGAACATGTGATTACAGAGATCAGATCAGAACATGCGATTAGAGATCAGATCAGAACATGTGATTACAGAGATCAGATCAGAACATGTGATTATAGAGATCAGATTATAGAGATCAGATCAGAACATGTGATTATAGAGATCAGATCAGAGCATGTGATTACAGAGATCAGATCAGAACATGCGATTAGAGATCAGATCAGAACATGTGATTACAGAGATCAGATCAGAACATGTGATTATAGAGATCAGATTATAGAGATCAGATCAGAACATGTGATTATAGAGATCAGATCAGAGCATGTGATTATAGAGATCAGATCAGAGCATGTGATTATAGAGATCAGATCAGAGCATGTGATTATAGAGATCAGAGCATGTGATTATAGAGATCAGATCAGAGCATGTGATTTTAGAGATCAGATCAGAGCATGTGATTATAGAGATCAGATCAGAGCATGTGATTATAGAGATCAGATCAGAGCATGTGATTATAGAGATCAGATCAGAGCATGTGATTATAGAGATCAGAGCATGTGATTATAGAGATCAGATCAGAGCGTGTGATTATAGAGATCAGATCAGAGCATGTGATTATAGAGATCAGATCAGAGCATGTGATTATAGAGATCAGATCAGAGCATGTGATTATAGAGATCAGATCAGAGCATGTGATTATAGAGATCAGATCAGAGCATGTGATTATAGAGATCAGATCAGAACGTGATTAGAGATCAGAGCATGTGATTACAGAGATTAGATCAGAGCATGTGATTATAGAGATCAGATCAGAGCATGTGATTATAGAGATCAGATCAGAACATGTGATTATAGAGATCCGATCAGAGCATGTGATTTTAGAGATCAGATCAGAGCATGTGATTATAGAGATCAGATCAGAGCATGTGATTATAGAGATCAGATCAGAGCATGTGATTAGAGATCAGATCAGAGCATGTGATTATAGAGATCAGAACATGTGATTAGAGATCAGAACATGTGATTACAGAGATCAGATCAGAGCATGTGATTACAGAGATCAGATCAGAGCATGTGAATATAGAGATCAGATCAGAGCATGTGATTACAGAGATCAGAGCATGTGATTATAGAGATCAGATCAGAGCATGTGATTATAGAAATCAGATCAGAGCATGTGATTATAGAGATCAGATCAGAGCATGTGATTATAGAGATCAGATCAGAGCATGTGATTACAGAGATCAGATCAGAGCATGTGATTACAGAGATCAGAGCATGTGATTACAGAGATCAGAGCATGTGATTATAGAGATCAGATCAGAGCATGTGATTATAGAGATCAGATCAGAACATGTGATTATAGAGATCAAATCAGAGCATATGATTATAGAGATCAGAGCATGTGATTATAGAGATCAGATCAGAGCATGTGATTACAGAGATCAGATCAGAGCATGTGATTATAGAGATCAGATCAGAGCATGTGATTATAGAGATCAGATCAGAGCATGTGATTATAGAGATCAGATCAGAGCATGTGATTACAGAGATCAGATCAGAGCATGTGATTATAGAGATCAGATCAGAACATGTGATTATAGAGATCAAATCAGAGCATATGATTATAGAGATCAGAGCATGTGATTATAGAGATCAGATCAGAGCATGTGATTACAGAGATCAGATCAGAGCATATGATTACAGAGATCAGATCAGGGTCAGGAGTTTCAGACGGCAGCGGGACAGAGACTCACCCTCAGCCAGAACGAAGCAGGACTCTGTGTAAAGGCCGCTGTGAAACTGGTATGATGAGCGTTAAGGAACAAACGGAAAACATCCTCTAAGACAGCAGCACATGTGCTTCATGATAAACACAGGAAGGATATTGCCTTTGATATATTGAGCTGCACTGTGCCACTGAGGTCCTCCAGGTAGAACTTGCCCTGAAAGAACAGAGGATGAAGAGAATATATCAACATGAAATCCTGGAGTCAGGAAGCAAGTGTTCTGAAAAGTTTAAGCATCTGTGTTTTCTCTCGCTCACGGATCAGTCCGATTCGCACTACCCACTCATCAACACGCTAATGTTCCAATCAAGGGCCTAGAATTTATTTTGATGTGTCTCTATTAACACTTCTAATCAAACAAGACTTATAACACTACCACTGTACATGTTATTCTGGACACATCTAAATGGGCCATGCCCTGGATTGCTTGTTGCGTTTCTAAACTGCTGTGTGTGTGTTCAATGCTCACTGCTGTGTGTGTGTGTGTGTGTTCAATACTTGCTGCTGTGTGTGTGTGTGTGTGTGTGTGTTCAATACTCGCTGCTGTGTGTGTTCAATACTCACTGTTGAGAATTTATTTGTTAGAAGAATATTTAAAAGAATAGTTATGAAAGTTAAAATTAATAAGTTAACATTTAATACACAACACTAAGATTAACAGTTCATGTTTCAGATACATATGTGGTCAAAAACATTCATGTGTAATTAAGATTTGTGAATTGACTTCATTTCCCAAGATGCATTGAGCAATGGTGAAAGGCACGTGATTCACGTGGAGTTTTGTTTATGTTTGGTGATTTTGGCAACGGCCATCTTGTGAACGATTTGCTGAACAAGCACGCTGTATTCATCTTTGTTTCTTTTTCATTAAACGTCTAAACGAAGCAGCGTCTCTCATCGTCATTCCTAGTCTATAAGACGATAAATGTACAACATTTTTGGTGCCGGAAACCCGGGAAACAGAAGATTATGAGTGACGAAGACCATGGAGAGCGACCGGTTGGTATGGAACAACTTGAAAGGTCCAAAAGAAACCGTCGGACGATACGGAGTTCTACAACGAGACTGCTAAACCAGATCGACGTCGAATTATTAAAGGGAGACAAGGATATCGACCAGATTTGGAAGGAAAGATCTCATTGTAAATGCTCACGTCAAAGCTTCTGAATCTCACTCCTGTAAAGAAATCATCTGATGTCAGTGCATTAATGCAGTTATATGATGACTGTGAAATTCAAATCAGAAGCCTAGAGTCATTGGGAGTGGTATCAAACACCTATGGCGGTATGTTGGGCCCAATATTACTCCAGATGATGCCAGACGACATGGCTCTTGAATACAGCCGTCACAGAGGAGATGACGATGAGTGGAACGTGCCTAATGTGTTGAAGTTCCTGCAGAAAGAGGTTCAGAGCCGAGAGAGAACTTTACAAATGATGAAATCATACAACCAGAGAGAAACCCAGTCTGCTAACAAAACATGCGGCAAATCATATTCAGCCAGTGATGTGAAATTAAAGAAACCAAGCATGACATCTGCAGCTGCACTACACATTGCTGACCAGAAAATGTGAAACTGCCTGTTCTGTGATAGCACTGAACACAAATCTGAAAAATGTCCAGACCACACGGTGTCAGCACGCAAGGAAAAACTGAAGAAGCTTGGCAGGTGCTTTGTGTGTCTGGGGACCAAACACATAGCCAGGTTTTGCAGGTCAAAGGGCATGTCATGTGCCACATGTGGAGGCAGGCATCATGCAGCCATTTGTGAGAAAAATGAGACATCTCCACCTGCTGCGGTTGCCAACATTGTTATTTCCTCAGTAATTCCCCAAGCGGAGAAAGACAAACCTGACATTGAGAACACTGTGCTGCTACAAAATGCCAAGGCATGGGTTTGTAGGACCCACAAGCAGGAAGATGGTCCGCTGCTTGCTAGATGGAGGTAGTCAGGGGAGTTTTGTGCATGAGAATGTGGTGAAGGCGCTGCAGCTACCTGTTACGAGGAAAGGGACACTCACTCTTCACACATTTGGCTCCTCTGCTCCAACAACGGTGAGTCGCAATATAGTGAAGCTCAGCTTGGAGAATGTATGGGATAATCAGCAGGGAATCGAAATTGAGGCAGTTGTCACCCCCAAAGTGTGCACAGCGCTGATGAAAGTGCCTGGTGAACACATACAAAGAGAAATGAAAAGCAGAGGTCTTCAACTAGCAGACTGTGCTGGAGATTATAAACCTGAACTTTCTGTGCTAATTGGCTCTGATTATTACTGGCAGATAGTATCAGGCAGAGTAGAGAGACTGACAAATAGCCTAGTGGCACTGGAGAGCACTTTCGGATGGGCAGTGCAAGTGTCCAGCATGACAGAGACGACCTGCATGCATATTCAGCTCAGCGAGGATGCACAGATTGATAAACAGCTGCATGCATTCTGGGAGCTTGAGTCCCTGGGCATCACAAGTGAGAAGTCTGAGAGCCCAGAGGATGTAGAAGTGTTGCGGCGGTTCGAGGAAACCTCCATCTTCAAGGATGGGTGTTACCAAGTGGAGTTGCCATGGCGACAACATCATCCTCCACTTCAAGACAATTACTGCATCGCAAAAAAGAGACTTGAGAGTTTGAAAAGGAAACTAAGCAAGGATGTCACACTCTACAGCAGATACAATGAAGTTGTGGAGGACTACTTAAAACAAGGAATGGCAGAGGACGTGCCAAGGGAGCATGCATCATCACAAGGCAGTCAGACATATTACTTACCTCATCACGCGGTATTGAGAGAGGATAAGGCGACAACAAAAGTGCGGGTTGTGTTTGATGCGTCCTCCCACGAAAATAAAAGTCCCTCACTAAATGACTGTCTCTTAACAGGTCCCAATCTGAATCCAGATCTGATGAGTATTTTGATCAAATTTAGACTGCATGAAATCGCATATATGGCAGATATCAAGAAAGCATTTCTGCAGATTTCACTCTCAGAAAGAGATCGGGACGCTGTAAGATTTCTGTGGTTCATGGGACCGCCAACAGAGGAGAAGGACATGACGCTGCGCATGCTCAGAATGACAAGAGTGGTGTTCGGAGCTTCATCAAGCCCATTCTTACTCGCAGCCACCATTAGGAAGCATTTAAGACAGTATGAGCTAGAACACCCACATGTGGTAGAAGTCCTTAGCTCCTCACTCTACGTCGATGATTTTATTTCAAGTGCAAGTGAGGTGACCAAGGCACATACAGTGACAACGACAGCCAGGAACATTATGTCTGCTGCAGGCATGGAGCTATGTAAATGGATGACAAACTCTCCTGAGCTCAAAGAAAAATGGCAGAAAAGCTTGATGGATGGTGCTGTGCAACCAGAATCACACGGGTCTGTGCTGAAGGTGCTGGGTATGGTGTGGAGACCGGCCACTGATGATTTTGTGTTCGACCTCAGGGGGCTGCTTGATATTCTGAAAGAAAGAGAAAACACAAAACGAAGTGTTCTGCAGTCTTCTGCTCGCATTTTTGACCCTCTGGGATTCCTGACTCCTTTCACTATCAGGATTAAGTGTTTGTTCCAAGAGATGTGGGAGAGAGGGCTCAAGTGGGACGAGGAACTGCCACCTGATCTGACGAAGAAATGGCAACAGTGGTGCTCAGAGCTCCCTCGACTGCATCAGGTCTCAATCCCACGATGGTATCAAACACACATAGCACAGCAGGACGGTCAAGAGTTAAAGCTACATGTGTTCTGTGACTCGAGTGAAAGGGCGTATAGTGCAGTTGCTTATCTTCAAGGAGAAACAAAGGAAGGAGAAGTGACCATAAGCCTGGTTGCATCCAAGTCCAGAGTGGCTCCACTCAAAAGGATGACACTGCCACGCCTGGAGCTAATGGGTGCTGTAATAGCAGCCAGGCTGGGGAACACCCTCATGAAAGCACTGCAGCTAGACAAGACACAACTCAGACTATGGACAGACTCAATGATAGTGCTGCATTGGATTTGTGGTTCTGCTCATAAGTGGAAGCAGTTTGTAGCAAATAGAGTCACAGAAATCCAGTCTCTGACTGACCCACAGTCATGGTCTCACTGCAAAGGGAAAATGAATCCAGCTGACCTCCCCACCAGAGGCCTAACTGTGCAGGACCTGAAGCAGAGCACATTGTGGTGGAATGGTCCTTGTGTTCTGATGTCACCTGATCAGTTAGAGAGCACTCAGGAAGATGTTCAGGAAGATGAGGTAAGGTCTGAACTCAGATCCAAATACCAGATTGCTGTACAGTTTGTTAAGCAAGACCAAGACTTCTTAAGCCCTGTTTTATGTCTGGAGAGGTACAGCAAACTAAAAACAGTGCTCCGGGTGACAGCCTGGATAAAGAGGTTTATCTGCAACACCCGCTCAAGCACAAAAATCAGTGGTGAACTGACGGCAGAAGAGCTGAATGAAGCAGGAAAAAACTGGATAAAGGTGATTCAGAACCAGAGTTTCAGCTCTGAAATTGATTTGCTGAAAGCAGGGAAATGTCCCCACACTGACTCCAGAATCCGAGAGCTAAAACCATTTTTGGATGAAGAGGAGCTGCTCAGTGTGGGAGGAAGGCTCCAGCATTCTGATCTCTCCTACAGAGAAAAGCACCCATGGATTTTGCCCAACAACCACCGATACACAGAAATGTTGGTGCAGTATGAACATGAGAAGATAATGCATGCAGGTGTACGAGACACTTTAGTGCAGCTAAGAGAGAAATATTGGGTTTTGAGGGCACGACAGGTGGTGAAGAAGGTTGTGTCCAGATGTGTACTCTGCAAGAAATGCAAGGCAAAAGCTGGGCAGCAGACTACCTCGCCACTGCCAAGAGACAGAATAACAGAGTCACCGCCATTTGAGATCACTGGTGTGGACTTCGCAGGGCCACTCTATGTGAAGACACAGAACGTCATGACAAAAGCGTATATAGCACTGTTCACTTGCGCTGTAACCAGAGCGGTGCACTTAGAGCTGGTCTCGGATATGTCTACAGAGAACTTCTTGCTAGCGTTGAAAAGATTCATCTCGAGAAGAGGATTATGTAAGGTGATTTATTCAGATAACGCCAAGACGTTCAAGAGAGCGGATCAAGATTTGAAGGAGCTCTGGAAAGGCATTAAAGATCCACAGCTACGGGAGTTCTT